GGTCATGAGAGAGGTCGTACCTTCTCTTACTGATTTATGGTATAGGAGGACACCTACTCTGTATCTGTTTAATTATAAGAGCCCTTTGTTTAGGTGGACCGCTAGACTCCTGGCACCAGCTCTGGGGAGTCGTTCACAGGGTCACATCTTGACACGCACACAAAAACACACACGCATACCTACACATACACACAGACGGTACTCTTTGTTCACGTGTATGCCTATGTAAGATGCCATATGTTAATGAACCTATGCATATTCATGTAACCATAATAAAGAGCAGTGCTACGGGGGAGCTAACTGAGAGTGACTGGGGTTCGAGCGTCAGGAGCAGCGCTCGTCACAGTTCTCTCCCTTGTGCACGAGATCACACAAAGAGCTCTGCCTGGTGTCCAGTGCTTTTTGCCATTGTAGTAGAATTGTCTCTAATTGTTCCAGCGAGGGGTTTGTGCTAAACAAACCTATCAACTACCTGTCTTAGGCGTAGGATTTGGTTTAGGTTACTATCTTAAAATCCACACGGCCAGTGCCAAACCAGCTACAGTTAGGTTTGCCAACAAATAGTCTGAATTTTATTCTGCAATCAAATATTTAAAACATTCGCTCGATCACAAAATTTGTGAGTGGGGTGTGGGGGTGATACCCTTGGCAGAACATAATGCAAAGCTGGATTTTCACAACAAACGTTGTTAGAGACTGTGCTGCTGGGGAGCTAACAGAGTACTAGCCACCTTTACTTTTAATACCAGAATAGGTGTGTGGTGTAGGACAAGGTGTAGCTCTCACTGCACCAGTACGAGGGAAAAGTGAGAGAGTGGTGAGTGATTACTATATCACCTAACACATAAGCTGTGAGAGACATAAGCTATAAGCTGATGTAAGCAGAACAACTGAAGGTAGATGGTTTTCAGTAATCTCATCTGTCTGAGTCTTTTAGAATACAAGTCTGTAGTTCTATTAACTCCTTTAGGCTGTATTTATCATTTATGTAAAACTATCCCAACGTAACAGGTGGCTAATAACAAACCTGGGCTAGCATAATGGTTGTAGCATATGTTTGAAAATTCAAACCTTCCTGATTCTTACTGTAGGTCTTCTTACCCATTTTTTTTTACCTTTTGCTTATTTAATAATGTGTTGGTTTGAACCTAATGTGGACTTATTGAACATAGTGAAAAATTAGGTATTTTAAAGAAAACTCAAATACTAGTAGTGGTTGAACCAGGAAAGCTCTTTCTCCACCTCTTCCACCATCACCACCTCCATCTCACCTCAGACAGCAGTGAGGTGTCACCTCCCTCTTTCACACATCACTCAGCACATTTATCACACACAGTTCCTTTTTTGCCTCTCTGTGCTCACCTGGCCTCACTCTCATACGCAACTATATTTTGTCTTATAAGGACTGCCACAAAGAAGAATAGAGAACAAAGCTGACAATTCTGCAGGCACAGAAATTGTTGCCCCGATTATGTCTCATTACTCCCTTTCTTTAAAGCTTCAAAGGCACACATGTTTAAGACTGCACACACTCTGAGCATGTATTGGCTCAGTGCAGATATTTATACATAAGTGTGCTGTGACTGTTGAGATTCATTTGAAATGCTTTAGTGAAACCAGGAAGTGAGTGTGATAGAGTAATTTGAGCTTTGCGAAATTACACAAGTGAAATTGGAGCAAAAGCTTTTTGAGCTCCCTCAGCAATGTAATGTGATTACATTACATAGACATGTTCGTACACTGTCATGAAATGACAAATCTGAAGCACCGAGTTGGGATTGTTTTCGAAGAATGATAAAGCTCAAAAATAACATGTAGATCTCACTCTTATAAATGGATCGATTTGAAGCAGACAGTAATATAAGTCTCAGACTCTGACAGAAAACCTGACTTTTGAGTTATGGATGAGCTCAATCATGTGACTTCAAAATGCAGTGTCCACCACCAGTTTATCCTGCTGTTCACATAATCCCAGAGTGGAATAACTCCTTTCTCCTCACACTGAAGTAAATTGTTTACTGAAAATGAAGCAAACAATTGCAGGGATTTATTTATCTAGAAGCCTCAGATTTTTATCAAGCTCCCTGCTGTGAAACAGTACATTGCGACTATTTGATTGTGCTGGATTATTGTGTTTGTGACAAGATAAAGCACATCTACAATATGCTGCAAATTAAAACTGAAACTGTTCTGGTTGCGGCAACCAGGCAGGAGTTTCACAGTTTCACTGGTGCGTGTCTTGATTTAGTGATTAAATAGACCAATACAATATTTGCGCTGCAGCTTTAAATAATTGTATAATTACTTTTGAGGCATAAGCTTATAGCTATAATGTGTGCATTATTAGTTTAATTACTTTACCATACAGTCACAATAAATACACATATTTGGACACATTACCTAAAAATCTAAACCAGGCAAGGGAAATAAATGATGAACAACAAAAACTATACTATTTTTTTATGTCTTTCATATATACTTTCAATGCAGGACCCTCATATAAAAAAGAAAGCCCACCCTCTTTTATGTATCAGGGCAAAATGAGAAATTATCTGGTTCCAAAACAATTTAAAGAGAACATCAGCTGAAGAATAACATGAAATATTTTACTATGTAATTATTGTGTTGTTTTTCAAAAACTAAACCAAAATCCAGAAACAGGGTGGGCAGTATAGTCTCAAAATTGGAGGAAGATATTTCAAGAAAATCTGCAATAACAATATTTCTGATGATATAGAGAAAAAAATTGTGAACATTTTATGGACTCTTCGAGTTTATAGCCTTTATAAGTGCAAGTAAATGAAGACTATTTTTGATCCATCTTTCCCAAACATCTACTGTCACTGAGGACAGATTTCCTCATTTGAATTTGAATTTCCATTGAAATAAGGTCCCATTGTAGTGCAATATTAGTCGCAATATTAGTTTTAAATAAAAAATGTAGATGGATAACATGAGTGTGTGTAAAACTTTGGTTTAATAATAACTAAAGTAAATACTGTATCTAGTAACTCTGAGCCGACAATATTATGACAGAATAAAACTGAAAAATATTTTCTATTTTCTGCTTTTCCACCATTTAACTGCATTATTATTGTCCATTCAGCATTTGTTCTTCGTGTCATCTAGAGTGTAAGTAGCATGTGTAACCAGTGAGGCTGCTAGTTTTTTGTCTTTCACAGCCTGGTTCTATGCAGCAGTATGTTTTTGCCTCAAGTAATGAAACATGTTAGCTAAGTTGTGCTGCCGTGCTCTGTTTAAAGAAAGGACCTTTCAGACCCTTCCAAACAGACTCTACTTGTTCAGTCGTTTTCTAACTGTTCTTTAATCTCCTAGGACCTGGCGTCCACATATGTGGATATCACATTTTGGGTTGTCTAGACCAAAATAGTCAATTTTGCTCTACAAGCCCATATGGAAAAGAAATAGTAAAAACTTATAAAAGACTTGCATAAGATGTGGCCTACTTCATATAGTGAATCATATAAGGCTTATATGATTTACTCATGAAAGTGGCCACTTTCTCATTACTTTCATATATTGTTTTAGTAAGTATCCAAAACATACAAGTTTCGTTTATATAATTTTTCAAGGGATCTTATATCTGTTTTCACTTTTGTATGCTTTTCATACAGGTTTCACACAAGACAGATACAAACTTTATAAGTTTTATATATATCTTTTCCATATGGGAGGGCCTGATATCCATTTACGAGGATGTTATACTGCCACTGTTCTGTCAAAATTTACAGTGAATGTCCTCTTATGTGGATCTCGTTTTTTCTCAAAAATAAAATCAGGTAAAAAAAATTAAATCACGCAATTCTTTGTTTTTACATTCATCAGGTCCCAATCAGCCCAAATAGCAAAGAGAAATTAAAAATGCATGCCATGAAAGAGTTTGGGTCTTAGGAGGTTAACAGTGAAGTTTAACATCTGAAAAGTAACTTTTGATTCATTTCCTTTATTTTATTTATTTTTGTGCTTTTTCTTTGATCATTGCACAATCTTACCTTGGGGTGAAAATGCCAGAACACCCTCTTCTGGGAAGATTGATAGCTGTGTTAAATGTTTTCCACTTATGAATAATTAAATAATTAAAATAATTAATCTTAATGTTTTATTAATGAATTTTGTTGTCATTGCCTTTTTTTCTCAGAATTGCTTTTAATTTCGTTTTTAGTTTGCTTGACATCATCACTGGTGAGATAACTTTGACCTACCTCAGGATGCCTTCAGCAACCATTCCTGAAAAGAAAAAAAGATATAATGTACCAGTGGCATTATAACTTTTTTTTGATGTAGTCTGTGGCAGTAATGGCTAATATAACAGGAACAGGTTTAAGGTAATTGTGGAAACCCCATTACCCAGTGACACATCTTTTTATTTCTCATTTGGAACAGTTAAATTTTTCTCAACGAGTCACCTTTTACCTGGGTGAAGCCAAGAGATTGATGCATATTTGTCATGTTTCTGTTTGCATCAGACCCTTATAGCATGTAGCATTATTTGGTCATCCCTTGCCTTTGCTGGGCTGCACTGCTGTATCATTTGGCACCTTATACATCAGTAGTTCTGCCAATACTTTCAACTTAATAATGAATGGTTGTGTAACAACAACCAACAGGCTTCTATTATAATCTGACTTCTGTGTGATAGACTAATGCTTACTCACTTTTATTGTTCCAGCAGGCTTATTGAATTCCTCCTGTGCAATTCTTCTTGGACTTATCTCCAAGCTCTTGTCACTGTGACGTCTTGTTTGTGCTGTACAATCTGATTAATGAAAAAATTAGTACAGAACAGCATCAGTCCTGTCCGCAGCTGTGAGGTGGGTTCATATTAAAAAGTAAAGCAAATAGAACAAAAATGAAAGCTGGTATCAAAAAATGTATAGTGAGAAGCAGGACATTTGCTTTGAAGTTACTGGACTCCTGTGCCTTCCATGGTATGCTACTTTAATTGCAGCTAATATCTAATACCTCTGAATTCTGTGCAGGATGGCCGTGTGGCCTTCATCGGGCACCAGCTGGGCGGTGTGTCCTTCTCACCCAACAGCCGTGACCAGCAGGTCAAGTTTGCTCGTGCTGTCCAAATCACATACTACCTCCGAAATCATGGACCCGTGGTGCAGGATGCTATTGCAGAGCGCTGGGAGAATGAGTTCTGTGCCCTGGCCAGTCGACTGTCCACAGCCGAGGTCCCCCATGCAGCAGACCAGCTCCACATCCAGTCACTCACATCCTTCAGTCTGTGGCGGGACTTCCACCAGACGGGCCTGCTGGCCAAGGGTGAGGTGTTGGTCAGTCTGGTGCTGGTGCTCCTGGCCGCCACCATCTCCAGCTCTATGCGGGACTGCCTAAGGGGGAAACCTTTCCTGGGACTCCTGGGTGTGCTGACCATCTGCATTGCCAATGTGACGGCTGCAGGGATCTTCTTCATATCAGATGGGAAGTTCAACTCTACACTACTGGGGATACCATTCTTTGCAATGGGTGAGTGGCAATATGGATCATAACAGAAAATGTGTGTTCATGTGTGTGTGTGTATACAGTTGTTGGGTAAAAATGCTTATCTTAGGTTCACACTGATAGTGAGTTGATTGTGGTTTGCAAATTGTGATGGGCAACACTGCTGCAAAGTAATAAGCATGATATGTGTTTGTTTGGCTGATCTTTATCACCACAACCTTTCTCAAGGCAATCCTATCCTTACTGAACAGAATTTCAGGTTGAACTCCAGCAAAATCCAAACCAGAATTTACCATGAAGTCATGTCCAATATAATTAAAATCTAAATTTGAATTCAAAGTTATGTTTAACTCATGGCACATTTCAGTCATTTGATAGTCTTGATTCACTGCAGGAACTCCTTTTTGTGTTTTTTAAAACTTTTTTGTCTGAATCATGAATGCCCAAGTCATCAAAATTCACGAGTTTCTACTGCAGTGATGTTGTGGGTTTTTATTTTTAAGTGAATGAGTTATTGTTTGCAAATGTATACGTATAGTAAAAAAAAAAAAAGACATTTACTCTTTTTTTTCTGTAGAGATCACACTGAAGTCCCATCCAAACCAGAGGGCAAAGCAAGTTCACTGAAATACTGTGAAGGTGCATCCTTATCTGGTAGCACAAGACTAATTAACGCCTTAAAGCTTTTGTGTGATGAGACTCACTACCAATAAGTTATGCCCATGAGGTCCAAGTCATCCTTGGTGATGACTCTATCCTATGGGATTATGTCTTTATTTTAAAAATTGTGTTCCAGAGTCTTAGCAATGAGACAAAAAACATTCTAACATTCTAACTGAAAATCAAAAATGTATTTCCTTTTATTTTTATACAAAAAAAACCCCTACAAAAATCAAACATACTAGCTTGCTGTTCCTGTTAGCTAAGGCCATATACATCTTTCAAATAACAAACTATAGTATAGGATGCCAATGCAGTAAAATGTTAATGCAATGTAAATCTAAGATGTAATATTTTCAAAAAGGCTAAAAACATTTACTCAGTATTTCATGGTATCGTAAGTTACATGTTGTAGAGGAGAGTTTTCCCCTCCAGCAGGCTTGTTTTTATTTTGTATTTTTTGTTTGTTTGTTATTTTTTGTTTTTTAGAAAATTACAGAATATGCCTCGATTGCATAAAGTGTCATAAGATTTTTTTCCCCCTGTTCAATCCTTTCAATTTTATTAGAAAAATAGAAAGCAGTACAATACAATATCAGTATTTTAATCCTTGACATTGACAACTAAAAATGCAGGTACTGAAGATTGTAAATTAACATAAATATTACTTCAAAAAGTGACCTGAATCACATTGTTTCTTAATAACCAGTTATCAGTATAAACCTTAAGCTACAGTCCCACACACCAACACAAATCCCTATCCTTATGAAGACACACATATGATCTTTGTTTTCAAACTTACCTATGAACATAAAGTCGACAACACCAAGCAAAGATGAAAACCAGCACAAAGAGACTTCAAAGCGATTGCCACACTGACTCTACTTTAGAAATATGAACAGGTAGAATTGGAGGCTGTGGCCTGACTTCTAATCAGTCTGTTACCTGTTGAAGTTCACTCTGGCTGCTGGCTGTTGGGTATACACATAGCTTTATCATCACTCATTTTTGGCTAGCTTTGCGTTGGTGTGCAGATAACTAAGGAAACTTTGTAACATGATTAATGATAGAAATGCAAGTGTAATGTTATTAATGAATTTAGTTCAGTAATGGGTTGCTGTGTTATTGAAAAATATAGTGTGATTACAATAACTCAACAGTGTTTGCCAGTAGAAAACCTGCTGAATCAGCAACATGCTAGCAGTGAGATGTGCATTTTTAGGTATTCTTGATGCCAAATTGGTTATCAGTTTTGGATGATGTGGCAAAGAAGAAAGATTCTTATTGGTTTGTAAAGGTAGGAGTAGGGCTGGGCAATATGGCCTAAAATCCATATCACGGTATTATTTGAAGCATGTATCAGGGTCATCAGCATTCTTATGTATGAATTCTGACCTCGAACCGATTTTATGTAGTACAAGGCGCGCAGAAATCTGTCAAAAAATGTTTTAGTACAACTTTAGTAAGCTATGAAGGATCAGTGTTCCCAACTCCTCAGTAAGGAAAATCGCTATTGGTTGTCCTAAAAGTCGCTAGAATTCGCTAAATGAAGTCATTGCCTAATTTGCATAATTGGTCATGCTAATGTAATTGCAACCTATGTTGTTGGAGAGAGAAATAAAATAGTGGAAGAGACAAGAAGTGAGTAAAAAACATTGTAAATGCATTTAGAATTTATTTAGAACTATAAATTAAATTTCTTTAGCAATTATTATTTTTTAATGTCACAATTCCAACCCTGCTCCTTTACCCGGGCGTGGACCGGCATAAGTGACCCAAAATAGACGCTCTGGTGGAGTTACTTTGTGTGTGTGTGTTTATAAGTAGTTTTAAACATTGTGATCCACAAAACAGAATCACAGTAAAAGAAAAACTGACTGCGTTACAGTCTGTGCGGAAGCAGCGGCTTCGCTTATACGCGATTCATTTGCAGTTTGGACGCATGGGTGTGAACGTCTCCTGCCCTCAAAAAGTTGTCATAAATAAGTCTCCAATAATACCAGAAAAAGTCGCCAGATTTGTCGCTAGTCACTTTTTAGAAAAAAAGTCGCTAAGGGGGTCTGAAAACTCGCTAAATATAGCGACAAAGTCGCTAAGTTGGCAACACTGTGAAGGATGGATTGCCAGAGCATTACGGCTGCCGTAGTCAGAAGCCTTGCAGAGTAATCTGGGTCCAAAACTCCGTCTGCTTCAGGTCCCAAAATCAAACGAACACTGCGGCATCACTGAGAGTTAAAAACTGTCTAAATTATTTCATCTTTATTAAAATAATCAGCATTGCTGCTTTACCAGGTGTAACAATTAAGTTTAACATCCAGGCATCCATGAAAACAGAATTTATTATAGGGAGTGCAGAATTATTAAGCAAATGAGTATTTTGTCCACATCATCCTCTTCATGCATGTTGTCTTACTTCAAGCTGTATAGGCTCGAAAGCCTACTACCAATTAAGCATATTA